AAGGGAGGGAAATGCACGGGACTATGGTGGTGGCACAGGGGTGATTTGGTGATGGGAAACCCGCGGGGATTACAATCGAGATGGAAAAAAAAATGTGCAAAATGATGTAAAAATAAACTTTGTAATATAAAAAAATATATAAATAAAAAAATAAAAATAAAAAAAATAATAAAAAAAAAGAAGGCAGCCTCCAAAAAGAACACTTTTTCAGAAATTCAGAAATGCAACAGCCAGTAGATGAGGGGCTGCCTGGGGTAGGAGGGGCATGGAGGGATACACAGAGACAGGCGCGTGCTGAAGACGTGTGTGTGATTTCAGTATCTTGACTGTGACGAGTGTCCCAAGGGTGCAACATATCTCCAAATTCACCTACACTTGAAATACATGTGGCTTGACTATATATATAAGTTACATCTCAATGCAGCTGTTCAAAAGCAAATTAGAGCTCTGTGGGAAGCATCAACCACAAGCCAGTTACCCCTACCAATTATTTTATGAGCTTTTTCTTATTATGCAGATGACATAAAAATGCTTTTTAAAGCAATTTAGTTGCTGGTAATTCCCCCTTCTTCTGCGGCTGAGTGACAAGTTTGGGTGGGGGCAGGAACAGGGGCCAAAATGAGGGAATTTAACAATTTTTGACTTGGGGCCTCCCTGGTGGCCTCGAGGTTAAGTCTCAGCACTGTCACTGCTGTGGCCTGAGTTCGGTCCCCAACCAGGGAGGTGACCCACATGGCACAGTAGGCCCTCCTGTCTCCCGCTGCTCCTCTCTGCAGTGTATCTCAGTAAACCCGCCTGTTTTGCTCCCCACTCTGTCTCTGCTGAATCTTCTCACCCCTGCACTTCTAGCCTACACCACAATTCTTCTACACAAAAATTAAAAAAAAAAAAAGTTAGCGTAGGTTTTACATTCTTAGTAAAGCAGCCATTCTTAAATATAAACGCTGCATCCTCCCTCTGATTTGCATGGAAAAAACAAATACCTGACGATCCATTTTTTAAGCACCATTTAATAAGGAGGAAGGGGGAATCACAGCCCACCATGCCAGAAAGGACTTAAAAAGACCCAGAACACAATGGGGAAACATCTCACTGTTCACAAGAGGTTTTTGATTCTTTCCCGAGGTATCTGAAATCCCTCTCTCCAGTATATACACCAACCCATTGGGATGCAAGAGGTGCCAGACAGAGCTGCTCTTACCTTTTCTCTGGAATCGCCACTGAGCTCAGAACACTTCTCATACTTGACTTCACGGCCAGACGCTGAACTTGAAAACCTGGTACAGAGATCCAAGTTACTTGTGTGGGGCCAGAAGACGGGACTCCCTCCAGCCCACATCTGGCATAAGCTCAGGAACCCCGAGTGAAGTGAGCCCTGAGAGAAGCAGAGCCCACTCACTGCCCGATGCCTTTGAGAAGAACGTTTCCTTTCCAGAGGCCAGACCAGGCAGCCTACCTGAGACACAGCATGAGCGGGGTAGCAGGAGCCCCGGGCTCAGCTCGGGAGAGCAGGTCTGGGTGTCAGTCCCCGCACTACCGCCTCCCACTGTGGGGCCGGGGCTGGCTTCTGGCCTCACCTCTGCTTCTGTTTCTTCATCTATAAAACGGGATAATTAACACCTCCCCCTTGCCTTTTGTAGGGCAGATAAGAGGCGGCCCATAGGGCCTAATAACTACATGAGGGCGTTTAAGGAAGAGTGAAGATGCCCCAGGAGGGGTAATGAATGGCTGTTGTTGCCAGCTCTGGACACAACAGCAGCCCCCCCACAGATGAGCTGCGAGACTCAGGGGCCAGTGGGCCATCAGGGAATGTGTGGGGGCAATGGGTCTGCTTTTGCCTCCACAGTGGCCAGGTCTTCAGCCCTCTAGAAGAGGGGCACAGGGAAGTTGTTCCACCACCTGAAGGATTCTCTGTAGATGTCTAAAGACCAGTTCAGGGAGACAGGCTACAGAGAACAGGGGGAGAGAGGAAGCAAACCACTTATACTCAAACCCCACACACACACCCCACCTTGCCATCCAGGGGGGACTGATACTGTGGCTGAGCTGTTTCTAAATCTGGAACCTCAGTTTCCCCATCTGCTGACAGGACCCCGCAGAGGTGCTGCAAGGATGCAAGGAGAGGAAGTGTGGGCATGGCTCTCTGTTTCCTGAACTCAGGAATTCTCAGGCCTGGTTGCTCATGAGAACCACTGCGAAGCTTTTCAAAGCCAAGATATGCACCCCGCCCCAGAGGGCTGAATTAGAGGCGGAGGGAGGCCGTGGGGGTGGCAGGTGGCTTCGGTGTTTTCCCTAGGTGACTCTACATGCTGAACCACTACTGGGCTAACCCTGGCTGGACTAGCTGCCCTGGTTCCCAGGGCCGGTTGGTGGGGCCCAGGCCCAGTGGTCCCGCCCCCTGCCGCGCCAACCTAGACAAGTATGTCAGCGGCGTGCATGCCGTCAAGCAGCCGGCAGGCACACCCCGGGTATCTTCCCACGGTAGCAGCAAGAGAAGTGCGAGGCCTGACTGGCTTAAAGACCACCATGAACCGAGAGGACCAGCAACTTTATCTGGAGCTACAACGACCTGAGGATTTCCTGCAATACAACGCTCAGCCTGTGCCTTCATCCTTGAAGGAGGGTCTTGGAATCATTTCCATTTTGAAGACAAAGTAACAAAGACAAGCAGTGAGGTGGCACGTCCTGCAGCATATCTGATTTTATTTTCAGGTCACTCGCTGAAGGTGGACCACATGTCAAGCAGCCTCAGGCTGCAGGCAAGGAGAGCTTAGCCTTAGAGGTAGGTTGCGCTGGACACGACGGGGCTCCTGGTGCCCTCACACCCGTCGCCTCTCCTGGAATCTGTGAAGTGGGCACAGCCCCCATCGGGTGACTGAGGACAGGGGACAGGGATATCCAGCTGCCACCCCCACCCCTCCCCGTACCTGGAGGGGGCTGCATTCTCCCTCCACACCTCAGCTGCCTCGTCAGGGAATTGGAAGCTAAGGCCACGTCCTCTACCAGCTGGGCAAATGTTAGAGAGGGCAGTAAGGCAGCCAAGTGGAGCCTGGCACCCCAGGGTTTCCGGTGAGTAGTTTGAAGCCCCTTGGGAGCTGGGCAAAGCTAACCGGACATGCCCACTTACAGTTTGGTGAAATCTGCTGACAGCGGCCGTGCCTGGGGCGTCTTCCTCGTGGTCTCCAGCCTGGCCTCGGAGCTCTCAGCAGTCCAGCCCTTGATCCGCTCCAGGACGCTCATCCCCGCTTTCTCTGCCTCTGGCATGGCCAGTGGAGACTCAGGAGAGGCCGGAGGGGGTTCAGACCCCACTGCCGAGACCACCGCATGCCCCTCCTCCTGCCGGCTGAGGTGCTTCTTAATGCTGCCCCGGGAGGCCCACTCCCTCCTGGCCAGGCTCTCCCTGTCGGTCGCTCTGCTCTTAACTTCAGCAGATTCTTGCCCCTTTCCTGGCCTTGATGAGGGGTACATGGGCGCCTTCTCCATCTCCCTGTCGAGCTTGGCTTTCTCTTTCTCAAGATTCTGGTCCTCTGTGAGGGTGACTCCAGCTGAGTCCCCGGCAGCTCTGAGGCACCCCATCTCTGCCTGCTTAAAAAGCATCTTCTCCTTTGGTTCTGGGTTCTTCTTGGCCATCTCCCGGAGGTCTGAGTCCAGGTCCTGACGGAGAGCCTCTGCTTTGATCAAACACTCCCTGTCCAATTCGGGCTCCGGGTCAGAGCTCTCCAGCCGCTGATGATGGAGAGTGGCAATCGCTGTGGCCTCGTGAGCTCCCTTCTTCAGCAAGGCCTCCCCTCTGTTCCCAAACGGGGCTGTGAGATCCACAGACATAGGCCTGGGCCTCCTTATCCAGGTCTTCTCAGGAGGAGTAGGGGGCGTTTTCCGCTCTGTGGCTGTTCCCCCTGAGCCTGACTTCTGAGGCTGAATGGGTTTGATGCAAAAGGCCGACATGGGCCTTTTCTTGGGCTCCACAGGAGGACCCCCCGTGTCCTCCACACTGCTGGACTTTGAGAGTGCCTCCTTTGAGCCCATCTCCTCCTGGGTAGCTCCTGGCCTTGTGTCCTGAGACAGGGAAGCTGGTCGGGACAGGACCCCTCCAGGCTTTCGGGCCGGCACGGCGGGCTTGGCAGCCACTGCTGGCCGAGCGCCCGCAGGGGGCTCCTGAGACATGCCTACTCTGGCCTCCCCAGCCCGCTGCCCCAAAGTGGGGCCAGCCTTGGTGGTTTCACAAAGAATCATGCTGTTCGGGCTGGGCCGCAGAAACTCAGGCTTGGCAAAGAGTGATGAGCTTCTTCTGAGGCCCTCCCCGCTCCCTGGCTCCCGTTCCAGCAAGCTGGGCATCTTCTCATCCAGAGGCTGTGTCACCTTATCCTGGAAGACCTCACAGAAAGAAGATGGCCTGTGACGCCCAGGCCCCCAGGACGCAACAGGGGATTTCAGGCCCAAGGCCTTCTCCTTGGAGAAGGGTTTCGGGGCGAGTCTCGGTAGAGGGAGTAAGCGGGCTGGGGACCCGAAGGGGCTTTTTCCTTCCAAGAGTGGCCCCGAGGTAGCTCCAGAGGTATCGCTGGTTTGGAGGAAATAGGTATGTTTTAGGGTCTCCTCCTTGGTGATCTCACCCAGGCCTGGCACTCCAGTCAGAGAAGTTAGGGAGCCGACCTCAACCCACGTCGCCATGGTTACGGTGGTGGCTCCATGGAGATGAAGAACACCCGAAATGGAGAAGCAATCACTGAAAAAAAAAGTAAAGGTCAGAGTTGGTCCGTGTCTGGGTTCAAGCAGGCGCAGCCCTGAGTTTTGGACAGCGGCTCTCTGCTGACTTTACTGGGCAAGCCTGGGCCAGTCTCTTCTGAGCTCTGGGCCAAGGGAGTGGACTAAATCACCGGCTCTGAAGTCGGTTCCAGCTCAGAGGTCAGAAAAGGAGCCAATGTTCTCTAGGACTGTTCCGACTCAGCTAATCTCCAGGTCAGCACTTAGAGTCCAAAATGATTAACACAGCTGAATGTATCAGGAAGCCGCCTCAGAGGGGCCACGGAACCGACTTAAAGGCACTCTGAGAATAAGAGCCAAAGTTGGAATTGGAACCCAGGTCTCACCACACACTCCCAGCAAAAGCCCTGTTATCCTCAGCATGTCTCCCTTTTACAGCCTGTACACATCAGGCATCAAGTCTAATCCTGGTCACAGCGCTCTGCCGCGGGCCAAGCACAGAGAGGGCAAACGGCCAGTCCCAAATCGCCCAGCTACCCAAAGCCAGAGTCCCTGAGGTCACGAATTTGATGAGGCTTCCTGCAACCCTAACTGAGCCCCCAACCCCACCAGACTGTCCCTTGCGTTTCTCCCCCTCCATCTGCTTTAAAAACAAATGCTACCCTCATTTTTCTCTCTGCCTGCATTTACTGTTGGCCTTTGGCGTCTTTACTCTTTCTTTAAAAAGATTTTATTTATGTATGCATACAAAAACTGCAGTACAGGCCAGAGGTATGGAGGGTGAGAGGATTCACCAGACAGAGAGGGGCGCAGAACAGGCAGATCGAACAAAATGCGCTCCTGAGGGGAGCAGCAGGTGGGTCAGGAGAGGCCTGCCAGGCCATGTGGGTCAGCTCCCTGCCCGGGGATCGACCTTGTGCTGCAGCAGCTGTGGAGAGCTTCATGGCTTCATGGCGCTGCACTTTGACGCATTGTGCCACCAGGAGGGCCCTGGTTTCTTTCCTCTTGGACACCTATACTATGTTGGCCGCCTTCAGAGTCTCAATAAGAAGAGGAGCAATTAACGGTACAGATTTACCGTGAGAGGCATCAGGACAAGCCATCCTCCTCACCACCTCCTTACAACCCCATGAGGTGGAGATTATCAAACCCCATTTCACAGAGACTCAGGTGTGAGTCCCCTTGTTTATTCAGCTATGAGTTCTGCTCGCTCAAGGCTAGAACTTCCTCTCATGTTAACCCCCCAAACACCCTGAGAGATGAGGATTAGCCTCTCTCCTTTAAGGACATGAAAGCCTCAGAGAGGTCACCCAATTTGCCTATAATCACACAGCAGAAATTTGATAAGTTCTCACTCCTTTCAGCTCTGCTTTTTAAAGAATTTCATTTTACTCCCTTCTGGTCATAAAAAGCACAAGACAAGTGATTACTCTTGATTCCGCCCCCCAACACACCCTGACCCTGCCTTCCCACCAGTGTTCTCTTTCCCTGCAAAACTGCCCCCAGCTGCCTCCATCCAGGTGGACCAAAAGCAGAAGGTATTTTAGTTCACCGCCAATCTCGCTTCCCTGCCTGGGGCCTCGCACTGCTGCCCCCGGCTGTGACTCACGCTGCAGCCTCCAGGAAAGAAAGAAGACAGATTTTGATATTTTCCCTTCCTTACATGCTCTGTGGTGTTAACAGATTCCTTCTCTGCAAAGCGGAGAACGCTGTCTAGACACGGTTAGAAGCATAAGAGGGACAGATTTGGAGAAACGAAGGAATTGGAGAACAGGAGGGAGAATTTCACCTGCAGAGACCCTGAGCTGAGTTCTAAGGTCACCTCCGGTCCTCCCCAAATCATGACCGTCCACCTTAGAGTTAGTCCCCATGACCTCTTGCAGCCCTCTGAGAGCCATACATAGCCGGAAGGAGACACAGGACAACAGGATTCAAGTGACAGAGAGAAAAGCCGCTGGGAGAATGCACAGGGGCCCTCCACCCCGGGCTCTCGAGCTCCTCTGAGCAGCACCCGCCCCTCTTACCCAAGGTGGCAGACCCTGGCTCACGGAGTGACTGGCAGCTGCAGAAAGCCCCTGGGACCACTGCTCGTGGAGACAGGGCTGTCTGAACACCACACGGCAGGAGCAGCAGAAGAGGACAGGCTCTCCCAGCAGGCTGTTTCGGTAGGTCTGGGGACATACGGGGCGTCAGCCTCGGTTCTGGAGTTCCGGCAATCTATGCACAGACGGCGCAAAAGCTCTCGAGCGCCAACTGCATCCGCTGGCGTCTCAGCTTGTAAAACTCATGCTCCCTTTGCATTCTCAATAGTGCAGCTTTATCTATAGACGTGTACAAAGAGTGCTGGGTCCAAGCACATGCTCATTCCTCTGATACATGTTTATCGAGCGCCTACTGGGTGCACCAAGATGTAAAAAAAAACATCCCCAGCGTTCAGGGGACTCGGTGTTCTATAAGAAACACACGCACACACAATTAAACACTGGCTATAGACGCCGCAGCAGAGCGTAGGAATAGAGTTCATGGCCTAGAACTGAAAGTGATGGCTCGGAAGACTCCCTGGGTTTAGAGGTGATTTCTGAGCACATAGGTGCTGGCTGCTCGGAGGCTGCTTCTCCTGGTTGTCCTGCTCAGCACTGTTTAGACATTGCAGCTCCTGGGGAACCTCACAGGCCACTTCGGGAACTTTGCTCATGTTGTACCTTCTCCCTGGAGTCTCCCTCTTGCCCCCAAAGACAGGCCTGTACTCAGGCCACAGCTCAGACACTCCTGCCCCCACTCCCACCCCCAATCTAATACAATCGTCTTACAAGTTCATAGACCACCACAGCTACTGGGCTGGACATAGTTACTGGAGAGAGCATTTAAAAGTGTCTGAGCCTTCATTTCACACCAGTATTTCCCACTGAATGATAAGCCCCCCAAGGACGTCCTGAACCCCCAGTCGCTAGCACAGAGCCCTGACCAATACATAACTGCTGAATGCATAAATAAATGATTATTGATTGAAAAAAATAAATGAAGGAAGACATATTCTCCTGGTCTCTCTCCCCACTCTTTGAAGATTCTAAGTCTAGGTGTCATGGGTTCTCATGACGCCAAGCAACTGGGGCATAAGATGAGTTACTCTGGCTCTGGCAAGCTTTGGAGCAGCCAAAATCGGTCAGCTCCACCAGATGCCAGAGCTGAAGCGCTGTGAAGCACTCGGCTGGACGGTCCGGCTACCAGCCCTATCACCAGCCTGCTGGCTTCACCATGGGGATGGGGTGGGGTGAGCTTCACCCCCTAAGACAGGCCACTGTCAGACACTTGCTGTGACCATTTAACCTGGCCTGTTGTGCCCAAATGTACAATGAATGCTCCTCTATCCAGCCTCCACTGACAAGACGGTCACCAGGAGCACCTGCTGAATTAGGGTCAAGGCACCCCATGGCTGCCCACTCTGGGACCCTTGAACCCAGCCTGCTTGTAAGGAAAAGGCAAAGATGAGAAAGAAGACCCCTGGTCCAGCCCTTTAAACCAGAGCAGCTCTCTGTTCTCTGTCATCTCCTGTCTATTTTGGGCTTCTCAAGTTTTCATTGAAAATGCCTGGTACGTGCCTGGCATGTAAATCTAGTTGCACAAACGAATCAATGAATGAATTAATAAATCAAGGAACAAAGTCGGGTGGGGGTGGGAGGTGCTTTGTAAACTACCGTGGTGGACATCTAAATAATTGTTTCTAAGTTTTTCCAAGCCCAGAAACCCACGATTCTCAGGTTTTCATTTAACCTGTTGTAAAAGACAAGGAGACTGATTGAAATGTATGCATTAAAACCTTTAAATGCATCGCATATGTTATGCTTAATTTAAGAGATGCTAGTCTCTTCCAAAAGACTTCGGAAGCCCACTCACAGAGGACAGCTGTTATTTATTTCTGAGGTGGCCTCGATCACTCTTTTTTCCCAACTCATACAGTGCTTATTATAATTGCTATTATTTCATTAAGAACATTATTTGTCACTGCCTGAGTATAATGCTTCAAGTTGAATTGGCAAATAGCCCTCATTCATTACTCCACCTAGACCTTATTTCTTTCCCACCCTCCCTCACAACCCTTCGACCCTCTCTCCTCTCCCTTACCTCTGATCCTCAGAGCCTCAATTTATTTATTAGTGCTCACTGGATTTTGTAAGTACTTTGCGCTGTCAAGTGACTGCTATGTGAACGTCCAGTGTTCGTCTTTGTTGTTCTGACTTGCTTTACTACACATAATTCCCTCCAGCTCCTGGCATTTTTCTGTAAATGATAACATTTCATTCAACCACCCTTTAAAATGTAGTGTCATGATGGTCCAAGCCAGTTAAGAAAGAAAGAGAGTACCAGAAGAGTGAGCCACTCTGGTGTTGCATATGTTAATCCACAGGAGGGGGGTGTGGAGGACACCCAGATTAAGGCTGACCTGGAGGTCAGAGTAGACCCCTGCACTGGCCAAGAAACACAGGCTGCCAGCCTGACCTCACAGCGGGGGTAACCTTGGGCATGTCTCTGCTGTGGCTGCTGATCATGCCAAGTCCGCAAGCTTGATCTCCCTGAATTGATTTGCAAAAGTCTGAAATTCCCATACCCTGCAATTTTACACAGCAGAAACCATTTCCCTAAGAAGGGTGTCACTTTCCAGAGCAACAGTAGCTGAAGTTAGACAGGAGTCATGCTAGAGCATGCATCTGTCCGTCCTGAGACCCTTCCTTCCACAAGCCAGGCTCTGTGCTCAGCGCTCAGGTTACAGCACGGAGGCCCCGGGCACCAGGGGAATCCCAGAGACCCCAACGGAAGAGAAGCTCTTCCATTCAAAACCCAACAGTCTGGCAGCTTTTCTCTCGGATTCAGAGGCGTTGATTCATTCTAGCAGCTGTTGCTGATCTTTCATAATTACACCCTTAAATACCATCTGGGAGCTCACCAGTCATTCACTAGGCAGTCTCTGG